AGATAGATAGATAGATAGATAGATAGATAGATAGATAGATAGATAGATAGATAGATAGATAGATAGATAGATAGATAGATAGATAGATAGATAGAAAGATAAAAAGATAGATAGATAGATGGACAATTATGTATACTTGACCCTGGTGTTGCCACTAACTAGCACTGGATATGGTCAACGCAAAAAAGTGGTCCATCCGCCCATCCAATCCCTCAGGCCTGGGCATGCAGGATACCAGGGTTACTACTGCGTCATTATAGTGCATCAAATGGAGAGGAAGTGGCCTCGCGGGCTCATTGCCAAATGGAAATCAAAAAACGAAAAAACTTGCGCATACTTACGCCCAAAAACCACATTGGCTCCCCCCCTCGCCTCAATTAGTGCAATTTAATTGCAATGGCGAAAAGTGATTATCTCATGCATCTAGTGATTAATACCTTCCCCCACCCGTCCATTATGCATTCATTCCTCGCAATTAATACAGAGATTCAATTAATTACACTTAAGAACTGCTTGTTGGAAATGCAAAAGCAATTGATCCATCAATTTTCCGTGAAATGCAATTAATCAATGCAAGAAACGTTGAATTAATTGCAAGAGGCTGAAAACGCACCCTGAGGTGTTGCAGGTAAGCCAAGGGCATTTTATTGGCATTTTAGGCCAAAATTGGTCATTCCCCACGAAAAGGGTGCCATGATGCATGTTTTTACCTGATTTTGCCCCGTGTTTTGGCTTCTAGGAAGGTTTTATGTCAATCCTGACCCATCGGTGTAGAAAAACAGGGCGGTGAAAATTTGTCCCAAAGCACTAAGAGCATGAGCGTTTGTCTGCCAGGCAGAAGTGGTGCAAAACTAGAAACCAGGCAAGCACAGCATCTGGCCACAATCTGAGTATGAAGTCTTGTCAACTATGTTTCTCAAGGATGCCGTGACAAGTTTGGGGGCCCAGGTGCGGGTGCGCGTGCCTCTGGGGCTCGGTCAAGGCTGGGAGCGGTCAAGGCTATGGACTCAAGTTTCACTGCATGGCCTCCCCAATTGTCACCAGCAAATTAAGGATATCAATCTTAAAGCTGGGCGCAGGAGTCGGCTCCCCAAATGGTGCAACCTGTGCCACTCGCATAGAATCCAGGTTTTCCCTGCCAAAATTGGGCGACTTGCTGAACCTCCGCCCCCCAAAATATGCTCCTGGTGGAACGCCCAACCATCGCTGTAGGTCAGGTAAGCCGAAGGGGTGCTTCCAGAGAACACGTGTTTGGCAGGGATTGCCTGGTTTTTGCTCCCCACACCCTGGGTCCCCCCACACCACAAACTGGGTGTGTAGAGTTGCTCAGAAAGGTGAAATTGAATATCCTGCATGCTCAGATTTGGCTAGTTCCACCGGGGCAAGAGTGCAAACCTAGATGCCTGACCTGCCCTGACTGAAGAGATGGTTGTCCAACATGAGAGCCCTCCTGTTGCGCGTGGGGTGTTGTACGTCCTGTCAAGTGCTTCCCATCAAGTGTACTTAACATCCTTGTGCCTTCCTTGTGATTAGCCTTGATACCTCTCTTTACGGACAACCTTACACTCTCCTCCCTGGCTACCCTTTTTGGCTTTTTTTATGGCCAACCTTATGCCTTCCTTGTGACTCCCATGATGACCTTTCATAAGAACTTCTTATGAACACGATTGTGCCTCTCTTCGTAGCTAATCCTATGCCTTCATTTCCGTAGAAGGGAGCTTATGTACGTTGTAAAAGCCTCAACCCGAGGCTGACTGAATTTCATGTCAACTTGTTCCCTCCACGCAATTTCCCCGCAACTCCAAAACCGATTCCATTGGTCCTTCTGTGAGGACTCCCGGACAATCCATGGCAAACAGCAAAATTCATTGAAAACTGTGCCTGCAGAGCAAAATATGTTCAGGGAGACTCGAACCACAGTCTTCTCCATTTCTGGGAAGTGCACTAGAACCCCTAAACGATGGCAAACAGCGCAATGCGAAAAAAATTTAATCTATAAATCAGTTTGCGCTCAGAGGGACTCGAAACCCCCGTCTCCTCCTTGGAAGGGAGGTGTACTAAGACCCCTATACGATGAGCGCTTGAACAAGAACATTTATCAAGTAATGTGCAAATATATATATATATATATATATATGT